CTTCCTTTGTTCAGGAGCCTCTGACCAGGGTTGCTACCAGTCGGCCATCTTCCCAGAATCCCCCAAGCTTTTATCCTTTTTGCTGCCCGAATTTCTCAATTTTGGCTAGCAGGAACTTATTCAGATTGGCTCCTGGGTCCTTTTGATGTAGCCTGTATATTAGTTTTCTCTTACTGTGTAACAAATTCCCCCCAAATTTAGAGGCTTAGAACAATGTATATTATCTCCCAGTCACTGTGGGTCAGGAATCTGGGTGGGGTTTAGCTGGTTCTCCAAGCTCAGGGCCTCACAGACTGTAGTCAGGGCATCTGCTGGCTCCTGGTCATCTCTCTAGTCTTTTCCTGGTGTGGCCGAGGTGTGTGCACGTGCTGATCTGCTGGCACACTGCCGGCGGTGGTGGTTCCTTTCTGTGTTGGGTGGGTCTCTCCACAGGGCTAAGTGACCTGGTTTTCCCCATTGCCAAGGCCCTGAGAGAGAGCACAGGAGAGAGCAGTATGACAGAGGTTACAGTCTTGTCATAACCCTGGGAAGGGACAGGTATGCTGGGTGTGTTTGTGTTCTAGGTATGGGAAGTGACTCACTAGACCCAAGCATACTCACGGGAGTGAGGGGGTCATCTGGACCCAGTACAGAAGTTGCCTGTAATTACAGCCCCCGTAATCTTTGGTGGTCTTCCTTCTTTCTTGTATGAGGAGATGGTTCAGATATTTGGATGGAGTAATTTCTCTTAGGAATCCTGACTTTAGTGGAAAAAATATTATTTATAGGCTACAAATTAAGCATAAAATTCTGGGCCTTTTCAGGGAACATATTTTTTATTTTTTTTCTGTTTCAGATAATGTTCATGCTATTTAGATAAAGTTCATTCAGATTCAGGACTACTTTAACCTCATCAGCCTTAAGGTTGTATTTCTGTTCGACCACTTCAAAAATCTTGGTTCTCAAGGGCACCAACATAATTACTCATGTATTATCACAGTACACAGACATCTCAGTATGCCACTTAATTTACCAACAAAAATATGATATTAAAAATGGTTTAAAATTTCTTCATGGTCTTTTTCTCCTTAGAATATACCCGATTACATTTTATAGTCACTTTCTACTGTGGTGTGGAATTAAGTTCACTTGCTTCAACTTATATCTGAGGTTTTGGTTGTTTAAAAAATTTGTTTTGCTTTATTTTTGACTAAATTATTTTATCCTTCTAAAGATGACTTACAGGTCACCGTATATTCACAGAAACCAGGCTTTTGTCCTTGGCCCCTCCATCCCATTTTCTTCTTTCTTCATGGGTAGCCTTTTGAAAAATACATACGTTTTAAAAGATTTTTTAAGTATAAATGGTAGCATTCTATGTCTTATGTGTACTTTTCTCTGCCTTGTTTTCTCCTCTCGACACTGTGCCCGGTGGCCCTGTGGTGCCGTGTGGAGTCTTCCCCCTGCTCGTCCGTGGCCTAGCCCTCCTTCCTGTAGCCCTGTGTGGAGTCTTCCCGCTGCTCGCCCAGTGGCGTGGCCCTCCTTCCCGTAGCCCTGTGTGGAGCCCTCCTTCCCGTAGCCCTGTGTGGAGTCTTCCCGCTGCTCGCCCAGTGGCGTGGCCCTCCTTCCCGTAGCCCTGTGTGGAG